TTCGCGAAGTTGGTGCAATACGAAATAAGTTTTCAGTAAGCACTCGCCTCCTTGAATATAAAAAGGTAAACATTTGATGAAAGTATAATATTTGTTACTTTCTGATTTTATTCTTTAAACAGAAAAACGGAGAGTACGATAAAGCGCTGAAAAAGTTCAGTGATGCGTTGAACAGTCAGAAAGAAATTTTGGCACGTGAAAATAATCAATCGGCGACGCTTATTCTACACATTGCTATGAGTTATAGTAAGATCGGGCCGTAACGAATGAAAAAATAATGATAATATTATAAATAACAGTAATATTGTATTTTAGTATAATGAATAAAATAATAGACGAAATGAAGCTAATGATTCACATAACAGGGTGGCAAAAAGACACCAAGAAGATATCTAACAGGAGAATGACGATTTTAACAAGGTGGTTTTTGAGAGAGTACAAGAAAATAGCCTTTTTAAAAAATGCGCTGGTTTCCGTTTCAATAACACAACGAAACTTCACGTAGTGCAGATCTGCAGGAAAAAGTGTTTAAGATGAATCTTAGTGGTTATGCAGTTATAGTTCCCCAAGATAGTGTTTATAATGAGGATGTCAGACGGCGATCGATTGCAACTGATGGCAAATCTAAATACGTAACACATTTAGATTTTTTCTACTATTTAAATAGTGTTTATGTTGATATCTGCATATTTTCTATGTATGGTAATGCTGTCTTTCTCATACAACAAAGAAGCAGACAATCAGGTAATCTCATGTACGTATATTTATATGAGGGTGAGGACGAGGACGAATATATCGAATATTGTCTAATATGGTGCATCAGTTCTAACTACCAGACAAACAGATAATCTCTTGCATTCTGCGTCGGTGTAAAAGTGAATAATCTACAATATAACTCAGATATTACTGGCACGCCACTGTTAATGAGCAGTTGGGTGGAGGGAGGTGGGTGGAGAGGGGGAGTGGATGATGAGAGTGAGTTAAGCAGTAATATTGCACGCGTTATGATTGTTGGTGTTTCTCAAGAGCAGTTATATGCAGTTATGATCATAATTTTGTGTAGAATTTTAATTTTTGCAAAATCAATGCTTTTCATATTATTCTACTTTTCATACTTTGCTTGGAACAGTCTATTAAGCGGCTCACTCTCATGTAGTATCCCCCACCCCCACTCGGTCAGTCCGCTACTAGCTTACAGTTACACTATATCAATGTATTCCTGCAGTACATTTCATCTTACACTTTTCTAGTGTATTCTAACAGCTCTGTACTATTTTGAACATACAGTGGAGGATTTGATAAAAGGCTTTAAATGCGATTCTGGTCTGACTCCTTTTTGATTCAGATGAGTCTTGGACTACGGGTTACTGTTCTCACTTGTCAATCCACCTAAGACAATTATTTACCACAGCAAATCTGATGAGAAGACAATCTGAAATAATCTGAATTCTAGCTGCATAACTTAGTTGTCAACGGCTATTGATAAATTTTGCAGAACAGATGCAACATTGCTCTGCACAAGGCAGAGATTAGGATTATTCAAAAGGTATATATATCAGAATACATAAATATGCTTGTTCTTTCTTTTGTCATCGGCAAATACGTTACAAAATATAAATTAATAATTGCTAAATTAGATAGATGTGCAAACAAATTCCTTTAAGAAAATGATGATGATTAGCGATCAGACTTGTTTTTCTTATCTTGTTCGTTCTTCGTGCGGCAGAATTATTTCACCTATAAATGTGGCTAATCTTATTTAGTTGTTCGTTTAGTAGTTACAGACTACTGTGATGCATATTTTTATTTTATATTTGCATACTTGATTTTTATTTTACACTACCAAAAGGTATTTTTGTTCTGGTTAAAGATATCTATGAAATATAGTCAGATTTCCTCCAGTGTCGAATTTTCAAACCTATTTCTAGTAATAGTTTAAAAAAGGGGCTATCGCCGTTTTGAGAAAAACGTACCACAAGCTGTTTCATTTGTATTAATCATGAACCAAGAATTAAGCGTGAGAAAGTGATCACTTATAAGGAAAGGAAGAAGTGATCAATTATACGAGTTAAAAGCGCTCGAACTGGTTTGGATTTTACGTTGTAGCTCAGCAAAAACTTGGAATCAAGCGGAGTTATATCGAAAATACTGCAAAGCTTATTTTATGAAAATCGTTGTTGGACCTCATTTTAAGAAGTCATTAAGTCGGCCAAAATAAGTCCAAAAAGCCTAAAACTGTTTTGATAAGCCCAGTTTTAATTGTGGAATGTGAACAATTAAAAAGATGTCTCTTAATTCTGACCATGTTATGATCTTACTGTAAGATGCTCGATGGAGTCATGAAGTCTCTCACACAACCGTACAACTCGCAACCACCTAGATGATTGCTCGTAAAATACCCGCTGCTTTTGTATTTTGAAACGAAAAAGATCTATGAACTTATAATTTAATTTTATTGATGATGAAACAATCTTTTTTGATGCAAGCATTCTTTTAGACACCAAAAAATAAGAAACTTTGAACACAATCAAATCACAGTTTGAAAAACACATCGTTTACTCAATTCATTTTAACATAAATAAGTGCATCTTGGGATGAACTTCCCATTCCATACTTTGTGCTTCCAACTGGATTACTTGCCAATGAAAAACCAATTGTATACACTGCATTAGCAACAGTGCTAATCGATTGTGCCAAGTAGTGCCAACTACCCGAACAGTCATCATAGTAACATGTTCCAGTGCCACCATAACATCCAACACTTGCCTGATATCCACCATCGCCGCCGCCGGAACATGCACAAAATACTGACCAACCGGTTGTAATACTACTGGAAAAGTCATGGTTCACTAGCAGTTGTGTACCACTACTGTCTTTAACTGACACATTGTCGATATACAACTGATTAGAAGGTGCTGGGTTGATAATAAAAAGTAATTGCGCTGAGTTAGCAGTAGCTGTATGAATAATTTGTATATGAACCAATACTAAAGCCAGAATAGGATGAAATGTAGAGGAGATAGCTTGAGCCGGACGGTGCTCCGCATAGCGCTGTTGATGGTGCTGTTGTAGTGAAATAAAAGTAGAAGAAATTTACAGTTCTCATAGTTATTTACCACACTTTAAAAATTAATTATTACTCGTGGTTGCTTTTGTAGCTAGAATATACACAAATAAGTGCACTTGATAGACTATAGATAGAGCATTAGAAGTATAATTACTCACATGCAGCGGTACTTGTCCTGGTTGTCGTTTTGGTTATAGTTGTCGTAGTTGTAGCTAGAGAATTTTTTCATTAGACTCATCGCATTCAGCAAGACGGCGCTGGTATGAAGCAATTACGCGAATGATGCAATACAATGTAAAGTAACTAGCAACATATTCAAGCATTGCTACAGCTGAAATCAGTTGTTCATATGAAAGCTTTCTTGGTATTTCTCTGATAGCAAAATCACAGTCTTAGAGTATATCTCTCAGATATTTTATGTAATAGAGGTCAAGCTCGCTTGAAAATGAAGTACTTATGACGATGAGATAGAATAAAATTGTGGCTGTTTCTGAAAGACAATCACAGTGTCCAGCAATATCAGAATACTCATCGTTTGAAACTGCACTAGAAAATGGTATTTTTCGTCGCTGGATTCACACATATTGGACATCGTAGCAGAAATTATATTAATGTAGGAAATAATATAAAAAGCTAGCTTTTATTCCACAGAATTAATAACGCTCTACACAAGCGAGATATGTAGCATAGGTCATGAAATTCATCCTGTAACAAATTTCATCTTACGTTAGTGGCAACAGCCGTTCTTGGAGACACAGTAAATTTGATAATTTCTTCTGCGTGGCGTGCTAGTATCTGAGCTGGCCAATAAAGTCGAAAGCTTGCAAGAAATTCCTAAAACCGCATCTGCAAACATACAAAATACAAAAACTCTACGAATTGTATTTTAGGAACGAAGCTTTATTTTTCTTTGGCACCGCACTATTCACCAAGCTCATTGATCGATTGATGTATTAGAAGACAGGCGAAATGTGCTCAAAGTGTGGGTCGTAATAGAGGAAGAAAAGGCCATGTAGACAAACTTTGAGGTATAAGTTGTAGAACAGAAACTCCTCTTTCAAATGATGTGAGGTGGAGCTGATTTTAACTTTTCTGTGAAGAGAAATCTTAGTTTTTAATGTCCTTGTCCTATTATTTCTCCTGTTATGCTTCGAATAAACGCGAAAAGTCGTATTTTCTGACTGCTTTCTGCGCTCATGCCTAGACTCAAATTTTCTAAAATTCTAATTCATGAGATACTTCTTAGCTCTACACAATTTCTGTTTGAAAAACTTAAAGGCCGTCATCTGTACTTTTCAGCTGGAAACCGAGCGCTTTTGTATCGAAGATATCTCAGAAACCAGCGTTGCAAATCAGACGCAATCGATGCAAGATGAATTTCATACTATATATCAACTTATCTAGAGTGTCTTTGGTTTGGCATAGGTATGCATAAAGCCAATCAGGCCGAACTCAAGGCGGCTCGACTATTTTTAACAAAATTGCAAGTATTGTTTGCAACATCTGCAGAAAGCATTTCCGAAAGTTGAGTCTAGAATCAAAAAGCTTGTCAACTTAAACCTTAGGATCTACAAGTGAAACTCCTCCCATAGCAAGTAGCTTACTTACGTAAAGCCTTATTACACTTCGTGGTGGGTAGTTTTTACATTAAATAATTAACACTAAATAGTTCAGGGGTTTTGCATAGTTCCAAGGCAGACTACGGTAAAGCTCCCGATTATTTTACAAAAGCACTGCAAATGTGCGAAAAATGCTTTCCGGAAAACCATCCAGCCGTGTCTCGTACATTATCAAATATGGACGATATGTACTTGGCTTCAGCAAAATATGACAAGGCATTAGAGTACTATAAACGAGCCGAATCAATCCGACTGGGTGCTTTATTAGCAGATGATCTGGGCATAGCTGATATTTATTATAATATGGGTTGCGTCTATTACAATAAAGAATCTTTCGTGGAAGCATTACCATACTTTATAAAATGCAAGCGAACTTACGAGAAAAAATACCACAGAGATCATGTAGATATCAGAAGAGTTGAAAATAGCATAATGCTCGTTAAAGCAGCTATGCAAGAAATCGGACATGCGCCATGATGATTTTTAATTGACGCATCGGCCGTTCAAGCGGTATTTTCAGTTACATTCACCGTTCTTAATTCGTCGAAAGAGATTTCTAAATCAGGTAACATTTTCCTTACTTGAATTCAATAATCTAATAGCGTTCCACGCAATGATACCTCAGACCATACGATTGGAAAGAACCTTCCTGTATTTTTACTACTTATTCTCCACAATACTTTGACTTTCTCTCCTAGTTCTTTTCCCCTAATCAATGAGACTAAAAAGTTCGAGAAAAAGCAATTGTTACAATATGAGATAGCCTCCCGCCGACCGCCTTATATTATTTAGTGGATAAACTGATGAAGAAGGGTTCAGTTTATAGATGCGGCTGATCTCGTATATTATAAATACGATCAAGAATTTTTTACGTAAAACACAGCCGGTATACAAAATAGGCGTGCTGCATGAGAAAACTATCTGATGATGTGCTGAATGAAATTTTATAATTTCTGATCTCTAGGCGACAATGCACGAGAAAAACGCCTGTTTGCCACAGAAACAGGCTCAATCAATTTTTCAGAATTGGCTGTAACCAGTCTCATCTTGTGGAGCATACTCGAATACCTATAAATCCAAGTTCTTAGCTTGCTTGATCTTTTCGTTCTGTAGGTACGAGAATTTTTTGCAAACGACATCGTTCCAGATATTATCCAAAACATATAAAATCGATATATCTCGAGAACGCAGAGATAGGATAAAGATTTTTTCAGTGTATATAGTACTCAATGTCTACTATACACTGGCATACAAATATTACGTATCACTTCGATCCCCACTCTGTCTGACGACATTAAGAAGCACTCAGGGGCTACTTTTGTTATCCACCGATCTTAAGGTCAGCCACTTAAGATGGAGTCGGACTACTTTTTATCGACAGTACTGACAGTTCACTATCCAAAACTGTTGTCAAAATTTTGGACCTCTGAAATCTGATACAGCAAAAACAATTGTCAAAAATGAGGGAAAATTTCACCATGTTTCATTTGTTTCCTTCTAAGTTTTATCAACAGCGATCTCTTTCTTTTTCACAGTTATAGTTTTACAATTGGATATTAGTCATAACTGGTGCACGTGCTACTGTATCTCAAGGTCGTGAGAATATTTTCTGGAAGTGCAAAGAAGTGCTTCACCTTCTTTTTTTAGCCTTCGCTGTAAGGTGCGCGTAATGCAAAAGCTGACGAGGGAACCCCCTGAGGTGTCCCCTTCAGATTTTCTTCGTTCATATGCCATTCGTTAGGTCATATGGAGTTATGAAAAAGCCTAAGAGGAATAGTGCGCAATTTGCTTCCTTCAAAAGTTGGACGCATTTTTCTAATTTTCCTAGTGGAAAACCCAAGAAATTGAAAAATCCATAACTGCGTCAAATTCAAGAGTATCCGCATGAAACTTTCACACATGATACA